GTGTCACTGGCTGGGCAGGTGTCCCACCAGCCGACACCGCCAGACTGTACAGGCGGTTTCCGAGCCGGGCGTTCGGCCTCTCTTGTGTCCTCTTCTTCCTCCTGCCTTTAATTCGCTGGTTCTTTGCCCACTTCAATAACCCGCCTGGCGTGGCTCGGTGGTTGAGCGTCCATCTCTGAACCAGGAGGTCACGGTTCCATTCCTAGCACGTGCCCGGTTGTGGGCTCGATTCCTAGTGTGGGGCGTGCGGAAGGCAGCCGATCAATGATTCTGGCTCATCATTGATGTTTCTATCTCCCGCTCCCTTCCTCTCTGAAATCAATAGAAATAAATAATGCCCCACTTGTTCCCCTGCGCCTAGCGGAACCTTTGGGAAGCCGGAACCAATGTGCTGTGCGGCTCCGGCAGCCGGGGGACTGCTTTGGTATGGGACCACCAGCTCTCCCCGGTGGCTCAGTCCAGACAGTTCCGGGGACGCGGGAGTGTGGCCTTCTTCCGCCGACATGCACCGACAGAACTTCCGACCCCCGACTCCTCCTTACCCCGGCCCGGGGGTAGGAGGTTGGAGCAGCGGGAGCAGCTACCGGGGTACCCCGGGCGGAGGCGGGCCGCGGCCTCCCTCCCCTCGGGACGGGTACGGGAGCCCGCATCACACGCCGTCGTTCGGGCCCCGGTGTAGGCCCTACGGGAGCAGCCACTCTCCGCGACACGGCGGCAGCTTCCCCGGGGGCCGGTTCGGGTCTCTGTCCCCTGGCGGCTACCCTGGCTCCTACTCCAGGTCCCCCTCGGGGTCCCAGCAGCAATTTGGCTACTCCCCAGGGCAGCAGGCCCACCCCCAGGTAACACATGGCCAGCGTTGGCGGAGTTCTTACTGTATGGCAGGCACGGTACCAGTAATCCCTGTCCGTGCATTATTTTTTTTTTCGATCCTCTATGAGGTGAGACTGTCGCTTGGTAGCCCCTCTTGGCAGACGAATAAACTGAGGCTCAGAGAAGTTAAGTAACGGATTCTAGGTTCCCCGGGCAAAGCCTTCCTCTAGAACCCTCGGCTGCCCCCAGGGCTCTCTCCGTTGTCGGAGGTCTTGGCAGCCCGTTTCAGTGCATTTATGCTGAGCCCGGCCTCCAGGCGCAGAGCCCCGACTCCCAGCACCGCGGTCGGCTCGGTTGCAGGGTCCTAGCTCCTGCACTCTCTCCCCCCTTTTCTTCCCCGGCTTTGTTTTCGAACCGCACTGGCTTCCGCTCCAAGTGTTCTCGGGGGAGGATCGGTGCTGGTGGCCGCTTCCTGTTCCCCTCAGTGAGTGAGTGCAGGAGACGGGGCTTCCGGTGGGTGCAGGGTTGGTGGCTTACAACTCGCGTATACTCGATGCCTTGCCCTCTTTGCTTATGCTAAGTCAACCCCGTCCTTTTAAATCTAGAGCTAATGAAGATGGGAAGGTTCTAGAAATCTTTAAGCTGTAGCGTTTACAAGTTTTAAATCCCCCCCCCCCAGAAAATAGGGGAATTTTGAAGGAAAAAAATTGAAATACAATTGTTTCTTAATTTCACCACCAGTTGGTAGTTCTGCAAAGTTAGAAAGCCCAAAGTATTTTGAGGTGACAGTGAGCATGGAATTAATAATGAAAGAGCATACCAAACTGGTTTAAATACACTTTTAAAACAGAAACACTAGATTAAATAAAGATGGAGTTTGCAATTGAACATATTTGGCTTCAACGGCACAACTTGAGACTGGCAGTGTGACCCTTAACGACCTTTTCAAAAGTACCGGTTATCCCTAGGAAATGTTTTTTAACCGATGATTTTTTTCCTAAAGGGTTCTCCAAGGACATCTACACCCTTTGGATCAGGGCGTGGTAGAGAAAAAAGAATGTCTAATGAGTTGGAAAGTTATTTCAAACCTTCAATGCTTGAAGACCCTTGGGCTGGCCTAGAACCAGTGTCTGTAGTAACCCCCGACTCCTCCTTACCCCGGCCAGGGGGTAGGAGGTTGGAGCAGCTACCGGGGTACCCCGGGCGGAGGTGGGCCACGGCCTCCCTCCCCTTGGGACGGGTATGGGAGCCCGCATCACATGCCTTGTGTACCTAAGTTGACCCCTGACATGGTGACTTCGGCTGAATAATTAGTTGAGTCTTCTTGGTATTTTTCATCATGTCAAATATTGTTGGTATTAGAAAAGAAATATGGTAGGATAATTTGCAATATTTCTCTGAAAGTGCCTACCACATTTTAGAAGATTTACAGTTTCCAACTATTTTACATTCTTGGTTATATAATGGACATTTGGCGTTTAATGTTTTTCCAGTGTTTTAAAATAAAACATTTTGTCTTCCTAGCTATATTGTGGTTTTGTCATATGCTAAAGGAATAGAAGTATTAAATTAATGCTTTGTCATCAGAATTCGTAAGTAAATATTTTGCCTACTACTTTTGAAAATAAATTAATAAACCATCCTTTGAACTATAGACAGTTCGATATTTGTTCACCTAGGG